GATTAAACAGGATTGGCCCCAGGACAGAGCCCTGGGGGACTCCACTCGTCACTGGCCACCATCCCAATGATTCCCCACTAATGGTTGCCCTCTGCTTTCAGTCAGTCAACCATGCCCTAATCCACCGGACAGTGCTTTGGTGTATCCCAAAACTCCTCAGTTTCTCAACCAGGATTGAATGGGGAACTTTGTCAAAGGCCTTGATGAAATCCAGGTATACCACATCCACTGCATCCCCTCCATCTAGCCATCTCAAAACCTTGTCATAGAATTCCACAAGGTTTGTCTGGCAGGACCTGTTTTTGCAGAAGCCATGTTGTGTGGCTGCCAGCCTCCCTTCCCTTACTAGAATCACTAGATCTCTCTCTATTATGAGCCTTTCCATTGTTTTTCCTACAATGGACGTAAGGCTAACTGGTCTGTAATTCCCCATGTCCCTTCTACTACCCTTTTTTAAATCGGGACCACTGATGCCACCCTCCAGTCCTCTCAAACTTCACCTGCTCTTCATGAGGCCTCCAAAATGCAGGCCAGTGGGCGTGAGAGAACTCCTGCCAACTCTAAGTACTCTTGGGTGTAACCTGTCAGTGCCTGGCGCCTTTGTAATGTCCAATGCCCTGAGGAGCCCCTTGACTTCAAGGGGGGTGACTCAAATCTGTGCCCCTAAGTCTCCAGCCTCATCTAATCTCCTATGCGGATATCCCCCTTCCTGCTTTGGGAAGAACACAGAGGCACACTTTGAAGCTTAGGAACTTTTTGTGAGTTCAGGAAGTTGCAGAGGTGTCCCTGATTTCTGACCTTGTAATTATGAAATGGTACCACTTTCCTCCTAGTCTTGTGAGAACTCTTGGGATCCCCTCCCTGGAAATAGCATCCTTGAGTTCAGCCCTTTAAACATATGAGTCACTGGAGGTGCCGCCGTGCATCCAGGCACAAAAGGGAAGGCACATAAAGGCCTCTCCTTCCACTGAGGGCTGGGGAGGAGCTTTAAAGCAGGCAAAAAGGCCTTGGTGCAGGTGGCATCTGTTCATTCCCCTCAGGGGAGGCCTCAGCCTGTGCTCCATCCCTGTCTGGAGTGCCAGTGAAGCCTCGCTTTGCAAGGGGACTTTGCCTGCTCCTGCCACTTCTCATCACTCCTCAGTGGAGCAGCAAGAAGGAGGCTGTGCCTGGCTCAGCCGGAATGACACTGCTCTTCCTGACGCTGCTCCTGCTCCTGTTTCTCCCGAAGGCCTCCAGTGGGATGCTGAATGCCAGATGCCCTTGGAGCTGGGACACAGATGAACTCCACCCCCAGAATCACTACAGACCAGGAGACTACATCATTGCTGCAGCCATCTCTGCAACACGTGCTGAGTTTCTTCCATACACATTCAGAAAGCCTGCATCCAATGGACAGTGGGAGTAAGTGACTGAGCTGGTTCAGGGGATAAGATAAAGCTCATGGACAGCTAGATATGGGAGACTTTTTTCACGTAAAGTCAGCAATTGCCAGGAAAAAGCCAGCATCAGCCAACCATGGTCAGCAATGCAGAGGGCTCCTCACTTTGCACTGGCATTTTCCTTTTGGCGTTGACTTAGGATCAGTGTCACTATGTGGAAAGCTAAGGAAACACGCTTCCCACATGAATATTTTTGTATGCATATATGTCCAGGGTATCACCCGAAGGATATTTTAATCTGCTTTCCTACCAGTATAGGATCCACCGATTACTGGAAGATCCTCTCCTTCTTGTTGGCCACTCAGGAGATCAACCAGAATCCCAGGCTCCTGCCCAACATCACCCTGGGCTACGACATCTATGATGGCTATAATTATGCTACACTGACGTCTGATGCAGCTATAGACCTGCTTTCAACCGGTCAGGCTCAAGTTCCCAACTACAAGTGTGGCACGCAGCAGCAACTGGTGGCTGTTCTTGATGAATCAGACCCTGAGAACTCCAACCTAATTTCAAATCTGTTGGGCATTTGCAAAATTGGACAGGTGAGGACAAAACATTTTTGGGTACTACCTTGCTTTGCTAGGCAATTCTGCTCGGATAAATCAACATATTTTCCACAGAACCTCATTGGATATTTCCCATGCCATGAACATCAGTAATCAGGACCAAGAGCTGCTAGGGAAAGCCAAAAGCAGGCAAAGAAATGGAAGGCCAAATGAGCGATGAGTGCCCTCCAGAACAGAGGCCAGGACCTGGAACTTGGAAGAGCAAGGCTGTCATGGACAGGTCATTTTGAAGGACTTTCATTCACAGAGTCCCCAGAGGTCAGCGATGACGATATGACACATTACAAGAACACACCCAGAGTGGGTTGCAAAGGGCTAGGGCTCCCTGCCATTCTTCACACAAGCATCCTATTCTGCACCAGGAGACCAATGTGGTCTATTTTGAAGGAAAAATTATGACCCGATTGGCCAATCATGTAAGCAGCATCATGGCTATTTTTTTGCCTTCTTTGTGCACAGAGCTCAGAGTGTTAAGGACCACCTGGGCACACCATGGAGGGAGAGCAAGGCAACTTTTGGGAGCCAGTGTGGTGGAGAGGTTAAGGGAGTGGGATGGGGATTCAGGCAACATAATCCCCACTCAGCCATGGAACCAATCAGGTGACAGTTGGCCAGTCACACATCCCCAGCCCGGACTATATCACAGGCTTGTTGTTGTGGGGATAAGACAGAGAGAAGCAGGAGGAGAAAGATGTAAGCTGCTTTGTGTTCATGAGAAAAAAGCGGGATATAAAGCTAATGAACATATTCTAGTAGTTCAGATCTTGAACCGGAGCCTGTTCAACCTGCTGGAATGGTGGGATTATCACAGGGAACTTTCTTCCACTACGGAAACTTAGGAGATGCACCTGAATTCATCCTATTTGGGGCATCTATTTTCATTGTTGTAGACTTAGGGTGGCTAAATATTTGATATTTCAGAATGGTAGAAAGGGAGGACGGAGGGTGGAAGGAAGGATGGACAGAGGGAGGGAGGAAGGGAGGCTGTTGTTTCACCTGGAATGTTTCGCACAGATAATTACTTGGTAGGAGGTGTAGCCTCATAAGAAGAAGAAAGAAATGTGTTCCTGCAATGAATCTATCAGTCTCTTTTTTAATTCCACAGGTCACTTATGCTTTTGCTTCTCAGGTCCTGAGTGACCAAGACCATTTCCCATTTCTCTACCACATGCTCCCCAAAGAAGGGGTCCAGTACGTGGGGATCATCAAACTCCTTCTGCATTTCCAATGGACCATGGTTGGGCTCTTTGCTTTGGACACTGATAATGGAAGTATGTTTGTGAACACCTTGACACCTGAGCTCCTCCGTAATGGCATTTGTGTGCTTTTTTCATACTCGTTCTCAGACTTGAAATCAGATGTTGTAATGATCCGCCATGCTTCATTGGAGTTGTTGGCAAGAATCCATGTTTTTGTTTATTGTGCAGAGGCTAGCTTTTTGTTATACGGAATAAATACTGTGCGGCGTGTATTGGAAAGAATGAAACCCATTGAAGGGAAAGTCTGGATCACCACGGCAATGTGGGATTTCACTCTGGATTTAACATATACTAACCTATTTTTGCAACATATCCATGGATTGTTTTCCTTCATTCTCCAAACTAATAGAAAGACAAACTATGAAGATTTCATACCCCTTTATCTTTCTATAGAGGCAGTGGTGAAGAAGTCATTCGAGTGCTCCTATACAAAGCAAGAGGTGTCAGTGAAAGGATGGAAAAAATGCAGAGAGAAAGGAAACACGGCTGTGCTTCCCAAGGACGAGGGGCAGAGAATTCTCTCTCTGGACAGCTACTTCTCCTACAACACTATCCAGGCTGTGGCCCGGGCCTTGGATGCTGCTTTTTCCTCCAGATTCAAGAAGATGATGGTTGAGGGTGGACGCAGGCCAGACGTGCAAAGCCTTCAGCCATGGCAGGTAGTCGCTTTTCCATTTCAGATCTTCCTGATGGACATAAACAGAATTACACCAGTCAGGGACTACAAGAAACTGAGACAAGAGTTTGCATGCCTACACAGGTATTCCAGCCATCTGGCATTTCATGTCTGAGCATCGCTCTGTTTCTCCCTTTCACTGATTCTGAGGATGCACTCCTCACAGGGCTTGCCACACTTGGCTCAAGACATCCTGAATGAGACCACACTAGCAGGCTGCAGAGTCATCAGGGTCATTGCTGAGGTCCCTCTACTTAGTTGATTCATTTGGCTTTGACAACATTGCATAGCCCACACGGGATCTTTGTGGCTAATGCTCGAATTGCTTGTTGTTGAAATGTAGCCTGTCCGAAGCTGTGTGCCATATGAAACCATGGTGAAAGCTACAGTGTTTCTTTGTGCATTATCTCAGTTGGGTTGAAACTACATGATAATCCCTGATAATCCATGTTTCAACAATGGTGCACAGTTAATGATAATTCGCATTCAACCTCTACTCATTCTTTGAGAATGGTCATTACATCATTTGACTATGCATGTAGTGCAGAAGTCCCATCTCTTCGTCCAGTAGGGCACATGAGCTGTTTACTTTTTCATGGTCAGAACTTTTCATTGTCCAAAATGAATCCCATCCCCTGAATCACATTTTGAATTCAAGTTATTGATGACACTCACCATCGCTGGACTACCCTTCTGTTCAGAAAACATTGCTTCAATTGAGCTGCACAATCTAATGCCTGATATTCAGGCAAGATACTCAGATTCTCCCCCACCATTAGGCCAGATGTACAAACCACTGTGAACTTGCAATTAAAGGAAATGACAGGTAAGTCTGTCCAGCCTGACCACTCGGTTCTACTTAAGGAATTTTGAGATCTCTCCTGTAGAAGTGACAGGGATAGCAATCTCTGAGGGTAGGACCTGGTCCACATGCCAGAATAGGTACGCATACGTATAGCAGAAGGCTTCTTGCCAACCTCTTGCCAACTTTCTGGCTCTTTCTCTCCCATTCCAGCTCCACCCCTTCCTGAGAAGCCCCCAGTTTCACAATCGGTCCATGGATGGAGTGTATTTGGATGAGAAAGGGGACCTGGCAGCTGACTTGGACATTGTCAACTGGGTGAAGTTTCCCAACAGTTCTGTCATAAGAGTGAAAGTTGGGAGCATAGAAAGACAGGGGTCGTCTGGACGCAAATGCACCATTGACCAAGATGCCATCAAGTGGCCCAAATGGCTCAACAAGGTGAGAAAAACCTCTCACTCCTTGTTCTCTCAGATGCACTTATTTGGGAAAGAATGCACATTGGACACAGTTGCATTGGCTTAGGTTTATTTATAAGCAGGAATGTGCTTTGAATTCAGCTTGGGAGGGGGGAATCCCTCATATTTCTCTGGCTCAGCTTCCCAGACTCCAGCCCACTTGCTCTATTCCTTAAATCTGCTTTGCACCAAATGTTTGTGTGGGTGTCTGGGAGCAAGCAAGTCCAGGAGAATCCAAGAGACCAGACACAGGCTTCTGCACACATATCTTGTGCATCTTTGCTTCTTTGCATAGATGGGGTGAGATTCCAACCCAAATGGCACAACCCTAGTTGTCACTTGTTTACGTTTGCTTCTTTGCATACTTTTCAAGCATGGGGATGAAGTCTAGTGACCACAAAAGAGAGAGATTCCAGGCTGAACTTCAGAACCCTAGTCGCAGAATCATGCTTTTTCCAATGTCGCCGAACCTTTCCTCCAGTCAGGTAGCTCTAATGTATTTTCCAGTTTGTCCTTGTTTTTGTACTCAGCCCCTGCCACATGCAAGGTGTGTGGAAAGCTGCCGCCCTGGATTCTTCAAGGTGGTTCAGGAAGAAAAGCCCGTTTGCTGCTATGACTGCACTCCCTGCCCAGAAGGGACTATCTCCTCTAAGGAAGGTGGGTTCTTTATTTATTTACTTGCTTACTTATATATATATATACATGTATTTGTTGGCCATCTACAACTGTCAAGGCCTTCCTCGTCAGTATTTAAGGGCCTCCCATTACAACCAAGGCTATGATGGAGGGAAATCCAGCCTCCAAAACACTGGAATATCTTGCTATGAAATGATCGACCCTACACACAATCCTACCATGGAGAGTGCAGTGTTCCAGTCCTCTTTCTCCAGTCTTCCTTCTGGCAACTGCACATATCCCAAGGACCTTAGTGGCATGCTCTGCCTCCCATAATTCCTTGCCCTCTGTTTTGCTACTGGTCCACTTCACATATGGAGCACCATTTGTCTTAGCTGGCTCCTGGTGGGAATGTTCCCCCACCCACTGCTCCCATTCAGTCCCTTGCCTGCTTAAATTCTGCCTCTCCCCACCACTTTATATCTAGGAACACTTTCTGTTGTGCCTTGAGTTCTGCAATGTGACCTGTGTCCCTTGCCCCATTATCCTTCTCAACCACTTGAGACATCTGCTCCAGCTGAAGGGGAAGTCTTGCATGGGATTTCCCCTGATTCCCTCCATTGCTGCTACCCACAAGTGTCTCCTCAGTTCCCCCAGGGCCAATACCCTGCGTTGTGGGAGGAGAACTTGGTGGAGCAAGAGGGGCTTTGGGAACCTTTCTTTGACACCATGGGGCTCTTTGCCATCGCAGTCAACGGGTCCAAAAGCATGCTCCTGCCATGTGGGGTGCGGGCTGGGACAAAGGGGTGCCTGCAAAGAATCCTACTCTGTGTAGACCATTGTTCCTGTAACCCTTTCTCCAGTCCTCCACTCACCAACAGCATATATTCCAAGTTCCTTTGTGGCATGCCCTGCCTCCCATAATAATGTGTCCCACCATCACATCTGCAACCTTGCTTGCTACAGGTCCACTGCACATTAGGAGCATCATTTTCCTTAGCTGGCTCCCGGAGGAATGCTTCCCCACCCCCTGTTCCAATTCCGCCCCTTGCCTGCTTGAAATCTGCCTGTTCTTTCCATAGATTCAGGACCCATTCCTTCTACTACTGAACCTTGAATTCTGCAAGGTGACCTGTTCCTCTTGCCCCGTACCCTCCTCATCCCCTTGAGACCTCTGCTCCAGCTCAGGGGCAGTCAAGCAAGGGACACCCCCTAGCCACACACAACTGTCTTCCCAGTTCACACAAGAGTCAGCAACCTGGGTTCTGGGAGGAGAACCCTGTGGTGCAAGAGGGGTTTTGGAAATCTGTGAGTGATGCCACTGGAGCTCTTCTCAGGGACATTGCTTTGTGGGTCACTGTGTCCAAAAGTGAGCTTCTGGGGTTTGCGCTGAGTACACAGTGGGGGGCAGTGAAAGGGGAGGCATTGCCGTGGAGGGTTCCTAGCTGGGAACGATTATCTTCAGCAGATTGGAAGAGTTAAAGGGATCATTATATGGCATAAGTGCCACAGCACTCCCATCTTCTGAGCCACTGGAACACAGCAGCCTACCTCCTCTGCTCTGGAGGGCTCACAGACCTTGGAAGCTGGCATCTGCATGAATTGTTCTAGCAATTTCTTCAAGTCTTCTCGATTTGTGGTTCATGCTTCAACTTAAGGAAGAGAATGCCATAGTTTAAGAATCTGCTGAATGGAGAGTGACTGTCTTTTTTGGGCCAGAGAGAATCACTCAGTAATCAGCATCATAGGATGACCTCAGGAACCAATGTTATATGGGAGGGAGCAGAGAAGGTCAAACAAGCTTTTGAAAAAGCCCCATGGAGGCAGGGTAGATGTTTCACCAATTCAAGGCACATGGAGAAGTGGGTTGCCCTCTTCTGAAAGCCCACTCCGGGTGGCAGCCTGCAATGGGTTTGCACATAGCCTGTACTCAGTCATTAAGCAAAGTTCTTCTCTAGGCCATATGTGTAATTCAATCCTTTCTTGCAATATCCACAACTGGTTTTTAGTGTGACCAACAAACTTCAATTTGGCAAGTGGATCTGGGTGGGAGATGTGATGAAGCACCTCCCTTCCTCCATCCAGATTTCTCCGCTCTTCAGAGGCACCGTGGGTGGACCAAGGAGCAGGGCATGGTTCCTCCTTGCCCCCCAAATATTATGCCTTTATTTTTGTTGCGCAATGAATCACACACTTCATGGGGCTTCTTACAACACTGGACCTGTTGGCACTCTCGTTCATCCAACACAATGGCTTGACAAAGTGGGTCTCCAAGCTCATGTGATTTCTTCTCATGTGGAGGCATTTCTACCTTCCTTGAACTATCCAAAAGCAGTTTCACAAAGTGGGTCTCCAAAAGGAATGTTGGAAGATTTCCTCTACTTTTGGTGGGTGAGGCAGAGTGTTGTCAGTACCTTTACAGCACATTCTTTCCTCCATGATTCCTACTGCAATGTTTATCCCACTAAATTAAGCATGAAAACTGCATGACACCAAATTCTTGCAAAGGTTTCTTCTCCTTTGCAGGAAGATTAGCAGAATTGTTGTGGCCTTTCTGATATGTGAATGTATCCACAAATTTAAATAAGAACATACAAAGAGAGATCATTCAATGCATCCATGATTTTTCACTTCAGGATAACCTTTGCTAGCAAATGGCATGTTTTCAGAGTGCCTGTGTGAAGGAGAACCTCCCTTGCTTCATCCTGCATTGTCCACCATTCAGAGGCACCATTGCTGGAGCAAGGAGCAAGCAATAATCCCTCTCTGTTCCCAACTGTTATGCCTCTGTTTATACTGTACAATAATGTTTGGACAACCCCATGCTGGGGATTATATGAGTGAGCTGGTTGGAGTCAGGAGTCACACTAGATGGTCCAGGAGGCCTCTTCTGACTCACTTTGTTTCAATGTTTCTATGTTTCCAAATCACAAACTTCACGTGGCTTGTTCACTTGGTTCCATTGCTTTGTCTGCTCCATCCACCATATGACTGCAAATAATGCATCTGGGCAGTATCTGGGCAGTCATGTGAATGGGATGGCACAAGATGGTATCCTGCAGCAGCAGGGCATTGGACTGCATGGCCTTTTGGGTCTTTCCAACTCTCCTCTTCTCTGATTCTCTGAATACACCATTTCAGTCACACTGCAGAGTGCCCAGTGAGAAGCCTCTGTGCAGGTATGTGCCTTAGAGTTCACCTACCACACAGTATTCTGATAGGCAGAGAATAGTTAATTTAAAAACTAGCATTGTAATGTTCAACAGTCACTTTTTATTTAATATATATGTCTTGGTTATTTGTTCTATATTATATTGATATGGCTTGTTTTACTGTGTTTTGATTTTAATGATTGTAAGCTGTCCTGAGATGCCATGCATAAGGGACGGCATATTTAAGTTTAAATAAATAAATAAAATATGCCTGACCAAAGAGACATAGCCAGTATTGTGAGCACCTGGCTTCAAATGACACATTGGCTATAACCAAAGGGAATATTCCAGTGGGAAATAGCTAAGTAAAACACCTAAAATAGCACAGGAAAGCTCTGAGGACCAGGGATTCCCCATAGCCATCTTTGAATTCGAAACACAGGAATCACTGGTATGAGAGAAGAAAGAAGCATAGCAACTCTGAATGGGCTTGTCGGAAAGCAGTGTGTAATCCCAGGGTTCTTGGCTCAAAATCCTTGATTGAGTGTACAGAACACAGGTTGCAAAGGATGAAAGGGAGATGTTTCTCTTTCTGTTTACAGATGCTGACCATTGCACCAGGTGTCCAGATGATCAGCATCCAAGCAAAAACCGAACCCAATGTATCCCCAAGAGGATTACCTTTCTGTCCTATAAAGAATCTCTTGGGATCATCCTGGCTTCCATGGCCCTCATACTATCCTTATCCACAGGACTTGTGTTAGGAATCTTCATTAAATTTCAAGAATCCCCAGTCGTCAAAGCCAACAACCGGAATCTCTCCTACATTCTTCTGATTGCCCTCCTGCTTTCCTTCTCCTCCTCCTTCCTCTTCATTGGACTGCCCAGGAAACTGACCTGCCTTCTCCGACAAAAAGCCTTCAGCATCATCTTCTCAGTTGCTGTCTCTTCTCTCTTAGCCAAAACAATTACCGTGGTATTGGCCTTCTTGGCCACCAAGCCAGGCAACAGGGCAAGAAACTGGTTGGGGAAGACTTTGGCCAATTCCATCGTCATTGTGTATTCCAGCATCCAAGTTGTCATCTGCTTCATCTGGCTGGGAACGTCTCCTCCCTTTCCTGACACTGACATGCACGCTCAACTTGATCAGATCATCCTGCAATGCAACGAAGGCTCTGTGACCATGTTCTACACTGCCCTCGGTTACATGGGCTTCTTGGCTGCCGTTTGCTTCACAGTGGCTTTCCTTGCCAGGAAGCTGCCTGGGGCCTTCAATGAGGCCAAGCTGATCACCTTCAGCATGCTAGTCTTCTGCAGCATCTGGGTGTCCTTTGTGCCCACATACCTAAGCACCAAGGGGAAATACATGGTGGCTGTGCAGGTCTTTTCCATCTTGGCCTCCAGTGTTGGGCTGTTGGGCTGCATTTTCCTTCCCAAGTGCTACATTATTATCCTACGACCTGATCTGAATACAAAGGAACATCTCATGATGAAAACTAAAGTATAAATTTGCTTTATGTTTCACCCGTGCCCCAGGAATCTGCTTTTCTTTTGGTTCTTTCTTCACTTGGGAAAAGAGGCTTCATTTCATCTTTGCAAAAGGACCACAGAAGACCTTTTAGCATCTTAGGAATCAATGTGGTTGCTCTCTTGCATTGTACTCTCACATTCAATGGCTGTTATCTTTTACTCTCCCCCATTGTTAGGATTTGCGTTTGGTAAAAGGATTTTCCTTCCAAATTTGTAAACTTGGGACCAGGGCAAAATAGGAATGCGACACTATTAATCTGTTTTTGTTAGCCATGTCATGCAAACTTGGCAAAAGATGCATCATTCCTGCTTTGCAGAAACAGGTTGTGTTGCCAAAGTTCAAATAGATTCCCCCCTGAGCACAAGATCTCATAACCCACACACAGTTCAACTGAGGTTGACCACCATTCCATGAAATGGGAAGATCCTTTTTGGGAAGAGAAGGGAAGGAACAGTACTTATTCGGACCAACATAGTGGAGCTAGTGATAGAGGGGGCAATTCTGGGAAAGTCCACATAAATCCTCATGCTAATGCTTCACCTGCTTTTCAGATAATGCTAGCTCCACAACTGCCTTGGCATGATGTTGAAAGCCACTGGATCGGCACCTGCTCTTCCCTTGCAGTGTAAAAATACATAGCCAGCTCATGCTTTGTCTTAAGGAATTCTGCATCTCTGATTGGAAAAACCACAACATTAGAACCTGTTAGATTTCTTTAACTCCTTCTTTTTTATTTGTTACTCATGCTTATAATGATTTCCCCATGTTTCTGCCAATAAAGAGCTTGTGAATCTGAGTGTTCTTTCTCCCATTCAGCTACACTGAGAACGTTGTCATTCTCCAAATCAGGCTTGTCGGGTCTCCAAGAATTAAGGATCCCTTGGACCAAGCTCCCTCTGTTATGTTCATCCATTTCTGGGTGGTTCTAAAAGTGTGTTAGGAGAAGAGACAGAACAACTTTCTTCATTTCACTCCTCTGCCCAACATTCTTGATAACCTGTCCCCAATATCCTTTGATTGCTGCCCGTCCTGCATCCTCTCACCCCCCCTCCCTCTTCCTAGAAAAAAAGGAAAGATGAGTCCCACACCCATGGCTGAAGAGAAACAAGAAGGGGCTCATGTGAGCAGACAGGCAAGGAGACACCGTTAAGGCTTTAAAGTGAGGATCGGTTCCATACAATATCTGTCACATGGTCCTTCAGCCCACATCGATTATCTCCCCTCCATTTCCAGAGCTACAGATGCCAACTGGTGCTCTACATTGGGTACACTTTACAGAAAATACCTTGAGGAGAAAGGATGGTATTCTCAGAAGACATTTGTGTTCTCCAGGAGTCACTAGAGACTGCTCCTTTATGCTGATCTAGGCACTTCGAACCATGGTGCCTACAAAGACCTCACTTAAGACTGACCTAGGAGCCAGAGTTATTATTGCACACAAATCTTCATCTTCAAGGTGGATTCTTCTGATTCAAGGAAGGGTATCCCTGAATACTTATAACTCTTCATCTGCCTCTGGCTACCAGCAACCAGATGATCTGCTCTGTATCCTCTCCTGTCCCCATCCTGTCCCCATCCTGTCCCCATCCTGCTTGAGGCATCCTGCAGACACCTGGTTTGCCCCCAAGACACTGGAGTGCTGGACTGGGTGGACCAAGGGACAGATCTGGCATGGCTTTGCTTATGTTCTCATGTTCCTGTGGAGTCCAGAGGCTGTGTAGATCAGGTGAACTTTTCTGATCCCTGGGAGCAAAAACACAGGAATTGTCCTCTCTCTGTCCTCCAAACACTCCCCTCTCCACAAAGTAGCCCTCCTCACCCCATGCCTCCTCTAGCTGGGAAATGATCCAGGGCAAGTGAAGCTGCAGCTCTCCATTCTTCTCAATGTCTCAGATCACTGATTGATGGGTATGAGGACTTATTCTAACCCCACCACTTCCTCCCCTTCAGATTCAGAGTCAGAGTTCTCTATATTGGTTTGTTGTATTTTGCAAGAAGCAGACCCAGTTGCAACCCTCCTTTGGATAGACAATCTTTACTAAGCATTTGCCGCTACGTCAGGGGGATCTTTGGAAGATCAGAGCAGACTTGGCTCCAGGAATCCCCACTTAACCCCACTGTCCCTTCCACAAGGAAGAATCCTGTGCAGGCTGGGCAGCATCCAGCAGGGCAATGAGCCACTGCCATTCTGTGGGGCTCTGCAGATTCCCCTATGCCAGCAGCTCCCAGATCTTGTTCAGTGGCATTCAGTGCTCCTGGGAGCACACAATGGAGGAAAAAATAGGGTGTGTGGGCATGGGAGGGTGGAGGCTACAGGGGCTGCTGGAATTTTTTGAGATACCAAAGGAGTTTGGCAGTGCCCACAATTCCCAGAGCTACGATGCCCGGTCACAGGCAGAAGGGTACTACTCAGAAAGGCCATGGAAGACACAGTGGCCCCCCATGGCTAAAGCACCATCCTGGCGCAAGAGTCTTGAAAAACTAGCTTACACTTGGTGGGAGCTGCCAGTGTCTCCAGCTGGGATGTGTATCTCAAGAGCATCACTTGGTCATCCTTGTTCCAAGAGCTCAAGGGAAGGGCTGAAGAGCGAAAAGGGGGACATGCCTGAGGCCCATCAGGGTCACCCATAGCAATCAGCATCTTCCAAGGATTCCTGCCTTTGACAGCCATGCTCAGACCTTGTACATTCAAGCCTGGGGCTTCTTTGATCAACCCCAGGCTCATACAGCACATCTCAGGTAACCAGGTCATCTGTCCACTTATTGAGGAAGAGCATCCAGCTTCTTGGGATAATTTGGCTGGAGCACATTCTTCCCTTGTCTCATTTTTAACTTCAAAGGAAAGTCAAAAGCAGATGTGAATGAAGATCAAATAGGAGATGGATTGATTCCGGAAGAGAAGCCACAGCCTTGAGCTTGTAAGATGTGAGAGGGGCTGTGAAGGATAGGAAATTTTGGAGGGCAATGGCTCATTCAAAGTTTAGTGTGAAGTCCCAGATGAGTTGATGGCACATAAGAACATTCCTCCATCCCACAGAAATGGCTGCCATAATTGATTTCTTACTGTGGTTGTTTGTAAAGCTCCCAGAGAGCCCTGTGAGCTATAGGACAGTAGAAACGGGAGGGAGGGAGGGAGGGAGCTGGCAGGCAGGCAGGCAGGCAGGCAGGCAAATATTAAATCATTTTATTTTTTTATTCCCCTTGTGCCAGATATGTTGGCTGTTCCTGGAGGGCTCCCATTCGAAGTGGAGGCCTCTTGCCTCCTGGAAGCGTTGCAGGAAATGTTGAGCTGTGCCACTCACACTGCCTGTTTTGTGCGGAGGTGCATGAGGCAACCACTGTATGCACATTCATGTGTTAGGTTGGCTTCCCATTCAGGCATTGCCTGGGAAACACAAGCCAGGAAGGAGGGGAGGAGAAAGGAAACTGAACTTCACTTAAGCCATTCTTGTCATGAGTGGAGCTGGCTGGAAATGGGGGTCAGGCTAGATGGTCCAGGAGGCCCCTTCTGACTCGTTCTGTTTCTATGTTCCTATTCCTGGAAGTCAGAAAAAGAAATTGGGGTCAGCTGGAAAGCTGCTCTGAAGTAACATCCAAGGAAGGTTACTCAGCAAGTGACTAATACCACCATGAACCTCCCAGCAACATTTTCTTTTGGGGAGGTATAGAAGTGGGTTTGCCATGGACTTGAAGAGCATTCCCTCATGCCTGAGAAATCACTGTTGCTGGAAAGACACGGCAACCTTGTATTGATCAAGCAGATTTGGGGATGAGATGAGCAGCGATGAAGATGGTTGGATGAGCACATCCAGAATTATCCTCGTTGCACTGCTGCTTCTCCTCCTGCTGCTGGCTCAGGCAGCCTGTCAGATGATGAATATAACGTGTCCCCTCTCTCTAAGGAAACATCCGAAGGGATCTTCAAATTACGACCACCCAGGAGGCAACATCATTAATGGAGGCATCTCTCACAAATGTTTGAATATCATGTCCCATTCATCTTTTCTGTGCCCCCATTAAAAGACATGAGTGTTAAGCATGAGGATTTCTTTGTTCCTGATCCACATTCCAATTCTCCCATTTAATGCGGATCACCATAAAGGTGATATTCAGTCAAAAATAGTAATTGGAGAGGTGACCTTTCCTTGCATGGTTTCAGCCAAAGAAAGAGGACTCCCTACCGAAAAAGCACCAATGGAACTCTGTCCGAATGTTAATGGAATATTAAAGTCAATACTTATTTTTGTTTTGCACATCAATTTATATGTAGCCATTGATAATCAACAAAATGGTTGATTTGTTGCTATGAAATTTTATGAGTCTGGCCTTCTGCACTGGCCATGATTCATCCTTTGGGCTGCCTGGTTGTCAAGCGGAACAGCCAAACTCAGAAGAGACCAGCAAATCAATGAATGAAAATAATCTTGTTTGATTTAATTCTCTAAAAGTGAACGCTCCAATTCTGCACTGGAGCATCAACCAATTCACAAGACGCTGCATGTGCAGCGGAAGGTGATTGCAGACCTTCTTTGCTGGAGAAAACTATATCCCATTCCTGGATCTCAGACTGGATGACAAAGGGGCAATTATTCCACCTTGTGGAGATGACAGCGTTATGAGTTAGAAGGATGAACGTGCAACATCTCAGATTCAGACTAGACATCAGGAAAAACTTCCTTATGGTCAGAGCAATTCGACAGAGGAACCAGCTGCCTAGAGAGGTGGCAACCTCTCCCACAATAGAGACATTCAAAATGAAGCTGGGTGCCCATCTGAGTGGGATGGAGTAACGGTGTCCTGCAACAACAGAGGGTTGGACACTATGGCCTTCATAGCCCCTTCCAACTCTAATATTCTATGATTCTATGAACCTTTTCCTGATGGAAATAGGCAATGACTTTGTGAACTTATTTCCAGCCAGTCTGTTCTATCTCTTGAAATTTATTGTACACGGTTGCTCTAGAGGTCTCATCCAA